GAGATGTACTGTACATACTTGTACAATGTTCTTGTAGCTATACAGAAAATTTTTCATTGCAATAACACTAAACATAGACATTTCTTTCTCTGATATATTTATAGAAGATAAATGGAGCAGAGGATGAGTAGAAATAAAAACATATGTTCTCAGAAATATCTGCTGACTTAAGCATCTTGTCTATAGATAGTGGTGATGATAATTGTGTTAATTGTAACACAGATCAGTCTTAGTGTGGCACATTGTTAATTAAATCTCTTGGAACCTATAGCCTATAGGTATTCATTACTGCAAATGGCTAATGGTGTATTACCTGTGTTGTCTGATTTATCATACTTCAATGGAATGAGGAATCAGTTAATCAAGAATCAATAACTTGACACCTACACTTAATTATCACCTTCTTTGTTATTACCTTTGTCCTAGTGTGGACAGTCATCCTGTCAATCTCAAATGGCATGATTGACTGAAGGGAAATTTTCAATTGATCGAATACACATGCACTGACCTACACTGTAGCAAAAAATAAAACAATCAATAAATGATCACAAAATGGCATAAAAAAACTCAAGAAAGATTCAGCTCCACTGAAAAACAAGTAAAGCCTAAGGGTACAAGAAAATAAATCATGGCAATTCAATTATAGGATAAATCATAAAAAGATGCTCATTCAGGCAATATCCTCAGATCAAAGGCAGGACTTCTGCTTTCAAAGTCATTTAAAAACATTCAAGATTAAGTTAAGGCTTCCATTCAGAAGAAAAGCCAAGTGGTACATAATCACCATACATTGATAGCCTTGAACTGTCTTTATTGATACTTTCAGTTCCTCTAAGATCCTAACAAGGTTACCCAGTAAGCCACTTTGCAGACCTACTTGGGTTACGATCCTAATGTAAAGAAATAGGTTATATGTATCCCTCTGTAACGGATGTTTACGCCAGAGGAATACGGTATTGACAAACCGTCACATGCTAACAGATGGGAACTTGGCAGGGTATCGCAAAAACACAGGAGTCAATTGGCATTCCCATCAGACTACCCCTCCTACTCATTGGAACCGCACTTTTGTTGTCAACAGATCACAGCATGATAATAATCAGGTCTGGGAAACCAAAGTGAGAAAACCTATGCACGGGTTTTCGATCTCTGTACGTGAACTGAGTAGAAAAAACTTTCCGAAGTTTGTGTGGAGAAGGTCAAGGTAATATATATATAATATACCATGTACATGTACATTGAGTCAAGAGACATCTCAAAGGTACTTTCCTAAAAGTACAAGTCACGGTGACTTCCATTCTGATATTGGAAATATCAATACCACCCTCTTAATGTCATGTTTTGTATTCAATGCGTACGTCTTTTCCAAGGTAACCACTATGCAGGACACACCTTAGGAAGGGTCAGTAATCCAGGCTAAAAGGACAAACTGCCACCCACGAGATAATTGGCAGTGTCTGTGTGGCATTTGACGTCCTTGTTTCTCCCCAGTGATGGAATGTCCTTTGATGAAGCGTGATATTGGAAACCAGCCCTGCAAAGTGGCAAATGCCACAAGATGCATAATTGACATGGAGAACAGAACAGAGAGATGCACTGTTGACGATTCCAGACACCAATCATGACCCCTCGATAAAATAAACAGGCACTGATGATGCACCGTGTTCTGCAGCTCAGAGTTCTTGAAACTAGACTCTAGACTAGATCCTTCAGTCCTTGGTCTCTGTGTCTTCTCTGCGAGCAGCCTAAGCCCTCAGAGTTTCTTGACAGTTCTTAAGTTTCCTCTTCCACTGTTTTTGAGGTCTGTCTTCAGGAAAAAACAATCACACTAACAATAGTAACATTTTTGTCCTAAAATTTAATCTTCTTTAAGGCTTCACTGCTAAATAACTTAGGCATAGTAACCATGAATGTACAAATTTACAGAATAGTGTTACATAAAATTTTTCCTCGCAATATGCTTGCAAAAAACTATGATGAGAGTTGAAAATGTATACTGCAATCAATAATAATAAGTGTTTTCCTTTACATTAGCAATTAAAAATCCAGGGCACCACGTTACCCCAGGCCAACTCTATTTGTGTATTGATTTCACAGTACAGTTGGTGTCCCTTTCTCCATCTCTCTATAGATGTAATCCATTCTTCTATCTAGGGATGTCCTCCTTTCCAGGTGTTCTTCCCTCAGGTGACATACAATAATCCTAATGCTGGCTGCCTCAATGCACAATGTGTTGTCAATATCGGGTTCCATTCAGATCAAACTCACCTTCATTGTATCGTGCACCATAATTTGGCTGTCATGCAGCCTAACTGTATCATTTGCATACTTTAAATCACATCTGCATGTATCAGAATACGCCAGAGGCATTCCTTCACATACAGAACAGACTGAGCAGAACAAGGTGCATGAATTATACATGTCCTGTGTGTAGCTAAAGAGGAAATGCCGTGCAATGCCTGGGCAAGCCTGCAGTTTGCCGAAACAAAGATTAAATGGCTATTCATCTTTAAGAGTTTCCTGCTAGCCATTTCCACAAGGGAGATACCACTGACGTAGTTATGACGGCAAAGGAATAATAATATATCCACAGCACCTAGTGATGATATGAAAAGTTTCAATTGTAAAAGAGCAGCTATCACAAGTAGTCTATTTCCTTGGGAGGTTACACATTCCAAGAAATCCAATATATGTGTAAGCGAGTAGGTTTTTATCATCACACCATTTTTATCAAAAATTGTGTGGGATTTTTATTATAATTTAGATACTTCAAACAACACTTATGCAGATATGAAGGTGTGACAAGTAATCCAAGCTGCTGCCACGTGCCTGCAAAGCTTGAGAATTGTGCCTAAAGGCAGATATACCAGAGGAACAATACACTTCACAGACAATCATTTACCACAGCAACCACATTACCACCATGACAAAGATGCCCCAAAGGAAAACAGGTTTAGCAATTCAACCTCTATCACCTGGGGAAAAAGTCACCTACTTTCTGCCCTGATAACATCTCAATTGTGCCCAGCACCATTTCCATGCATCTTCCGCGGAGAAATCTGGCAATCACCGGTTTATGTGCCACAAGGTGCTCAGGGCTGCCCTAACCGCTCAGCCGTGATATCCCTGTGATGGTCTTCTCCCCTCACAAAATCATTTTTCTAATCACCTGTATTCTCCTTGCCTTCCACATTCAGAACATCCACATGCAGATGACTCATCAGTCATTGGCTCCTCAAAGGAGCTGCCCTTACCTGATATCTGATCAATGAGTTGAGGTAGCGAGATTTGTAGATTTTTTTTACCAGTAGACTTCTTTTTTCAACAGACTCAAGCCCCAGGAGAACAAACCCTGGCAGCCAAAGGCAAGTTCATAAGCCCATCGTATAGCCATCTGTGTCATTTTGAAGTCAGGCAGAATACGCACTTTGAAATTCAGATTTACTACTAGTGGGCCACACAGGAAACTGTGGCTCGTGTCAACTTTGATGATCCTACTACTGTAGTATACTGCTGCAAGTGCAAACAGGGAGTATCGCCACTGAGGGCGGTAGGACTCATCTCATTTCCATGAGCCGCAAATCCTCTAGGCGGCTTCCGTGACAGGCTAAGTGCCCCACCTGTGGCACTAAATGGAGGTAAAACAGCTCAGCTTACACCAATAAAAATCAAAGAGCCCGGACTGGGCGGCCTGCTCATTTACTGCATAATTTCTCTCAGCACAATTTCTGCGTTCTTTCAAGAACGTGAGCCCGACCCTGGCCTATTACTGAGACCTAGTGCTGGGAGATGAATCACCTTTGGTCTCCCGTAATGATTCCTGATTAGGGCATGCCTCAGAGTACTGTACATACACACCTTGACTCGAGGGCAGCCAATTTTTAGAGCAACCTGAGTCATCAAAATGACCCCTTGCACTTCCATCATAACATTGAAGGGAGAGGCCACACAGTAAATCACTGGCACAATTCCTACTCTGAATGGTCTTATGAACATAGCGGCACGATTGCATGCGTTTTACGACACAACTACGAGGGGCAGTGGAATTTGAGACTCCGATATTTCCGATCTGGGAGTGATAACTTCCCTATGCGGAGACAATTTCTGCCAATAACATTCTATTACCTGCTCGGGTGTCGCTGATCCCAAACTGATAATTGTCATTATCTGCAGACTGACGCTGCTGCCTTTATTGTCAGGTGGCTCAAAGGCAAGGCAAATTGTTATCACACCCAGGAATGTCCCTTTTTTTGGTGCACCAAGTTTGGGCTAGCAAACCATAAGATATCCTTGAGAAAACAACATTTTTTTAGCGTTTTTGGATGAAAGACACTCATTTTGTACACTCGTAATCATATCAGTGACACAGGTGAACAGAATACACAAACAAATTTGGTAGACATGTAAATAAATAAATAAGAATACATGTTTGCTTTATCTTTGCCTTTTCTTCAGAAAATACAAGTAATTGAATAGAAAGGTTGCTCTGTTCCACACAAAGGAGCTGGGTTTAGTTCTCTTTAGATTTGCAGCAAGGAAGAAGAACTATTATCCACACCTGGGACCTACATACCAAAGTTTCAGCAGAGCATCGACCAACAACATACAGGTGCACTGGGTCCCTACATGGGGCATACAGCACCTTTCAACCCCCGTGTGGTCGGAATGTTTGTTGAACTAGGCTGAGACACGGTCCCCAGGTTTACATAACAAGCGGGAAACAGGGCCACCCGGGGAGAACACGATTGCTTGAAGAAATCCAAAATCACCGCAGCGCACAGGAAAAAACAAAGTTTTGTGTTTCTGATCTTGTATTTCGCCCTGCCTGCCAAGTGAGTGCCTGGAGTGCTGCGTTTCTGACACACAGTACGCAGATACGACTCTAGAAAATCAACAACAATTATCGCTGAAAAGATTAGAAGCGACAAAACTTACGTAAAAATGTTGGAAATGAGGAAGGTATATAGTAGAGCTTCTGTAAAAGGAGTTAAAGAAGTTACCTCGTAGTTCACTTGCTCGAAATCGGTCTGGTAGTCGTGCGGACAGCAGGAGTAGTGGGGGTAGTGCTCGGAGCAGAAGACGGGTTGCCCCGTCTTGGGTTGCCACTCGCCCCGGTCGTGGTCTTTTACCACGATTTTCTCCGGCAAAGTCCCGTCCGAACACAGGTGATCGAGGTGAGTAAGATCTGCCGCCCAAGCCAAGTTGACTACGAGCAGAAAGGCGAGAGAAAACCTCTCCATTTTGGCGGAGAAACTTCTCTTTTTACGCAACTCTCCTCGCTACCACAAAACTGTGCTCGTCTCGTCTGCTAAAAATCGATCGTCTTTTTAAAGTCTCGCAAATGACGAGATCTCGCGTTACGCGTGATTTCAGGCCGCACATGCGTACTGCTGGTCGCACACGAATACTTCCGGTTTCTCCACAGTTGGCAATCATGTGAGTTTGGCAACATATTTTCACGCATATCATACGTTTAGACTTTATCATATGTAAGTAGCATGGATTTTTATGATAACCTAATGGTGTTGTTCCACACAGGTCGAAAGTTACCTTCAAGATAACGCTGACGTCGGATCCAAAACTGCCATACAAAGTGTAAGTGCCCCCCTCCCATAGCTAGACAACATAGTGATCTCACGTTGACACGTTATGATGCAATATTTTACGCGATCTGACCGTGGTTTTACTTTGATTTGTGTATCCTGTAGTACATCTTTTAACGTAAATGTGTTTTTATTTACAGACTCAGTGTACCAGAGGCCACACCCTTCACGGCAGTTCTAAAATTTGCAGCAGAGGAGGTGGGTAACTTATGGGGTGGGGCGGTTTCTAAAAAGTTGTCTTGAAAATAATACACAAACAGCCTGGATTATCTAGAGTAGGTCAATGTTTCTGTCCAAACCAACCAGAGGACATGCCTACAAATTCCAGATTCAGAAGTCAAACAGGCCCAGATCAACAAGAGTAAACCCAGACTAGAATAAACTCTCAGCACTCACTCACTCTCACTCAGCACTGCATGCTCCAAACTCTCAGCAGCAACAGTGAATAGTAGTTCAGTCACTGCCTTCAAGAACAAACTGGCAGTGGAATGGAAACACCACTGGAACTGTCACGACTACATCTTCTCATACTGACTGTCTATACTGTCTAAATACATGACGGTCTCATTACCCTGGGAAATGGTACCAACTGACCTGGATTCAGACGAATATCTTATACCAGGCTTCAGAGGCAGCTGAAAATACAATGTAGTAGATATTGGTCAAATAGACAGATATAGATATACACGTGTGTTTAATTTTAAAATAACAATTTCCATTTGTTTTTCAGTTTCGAGTACCACCTGACACAAGTGCCATCATTACCAATGGTAAAATATTTCATACACTTTCCCTTTTGAAGAGAGATGGTCTTTACATGTGACTCAGAGGGGGTAGATGTTGATATGATTAAATATCTGTATTTTTTCTATATGAATACATGTAGTCAGAGCTAGAATGAAGAATGTCAGTGTATTGGTAATCAAGTATTTTTTTTATTTTCCACCCACTCAGACGGCATAGGTATCAATCCAGCCCAGACTGCAGGTAAATGAAATCATCATTAGTGTGCTATAGTGGATAATTATCATTAATATTAATTAGACTGCAGAGCTTCCAACCAAGGAGGTTCAAAAAGAGATTTTTTAAAACTCCTTGTTCCAACACAGTTGCCCCTTGACAGTATAAATTTAGCACAATATAGTTAGCATTTCTCGTTTAACAAGGATTATGACGTCAAAATTTGAAAATGTACGAATCTTGTTTTTTTTTTTTTTGCCTTGCCTTGTTTTTTTCCCCTCTCACATTAGATTTGGAGTCTGTGGAGGATGTCATCCATAAAATTTACTTGCTGTGTCCTTAGCTAAACCATAGAGATATTGTTCATTGAATACTACATTTTTCTTTGCGTCAGTACCAATTAACTTGATATTTGTTCTAATTATAGGCAACGTTTTCCTAAAGCACGGCTCTGAACTGAGGATTATACCAAGAGACCGGGTTGGCTGCTGAGAAAAGAAATCATCTATCTATCCCTCTGATTTTACATGGATGTTGACATGGCTATGTGACAAAACTAGCAAATTGAAGAGACTGTGAATATGTTAGGCTCAATGTATTAAGTGTCTGTCAATTTGCACAATGAAGATACATGAAGCAATCTGTAGTATCTACCACCGAAGGATATTTATTTCCCTTACTCTTGTCTGTTGTAGTCCCCATTATTTCCTCCGTAATATAAAGGTGCAGTGGTGAAAACACAGTCCAATATTTTATCTGTGTTTTAAATCATGCAGCATGAGTTATTATATCACTTGGATATTCCAGTGCATTGTCTCAAATGTATGTAATGTTTGAGGCACTTACCATTTAAATTGGGACAGGATTTTGCCTAAATATATCTAACAAAGTTGTTAAGATCTACATGTAGGTAGAGAATTCGTCCTTCTCATATTCCTATATTATGGAAACAAGAAGTTAATTTAGAGATACTGTAATGTGACATTGCTGATATTGACATATGTTACGGTTAAAAATGTTTGAGGCAAAAGTGCACCATGTTGTACAAAATGTAGGGTACATGAATTAAACATGAAATGACACATACTTGACATGGCATGATTTCATGCTTGAGATGGCTTTATATGTGACAAAACCTTTAAGTGGGCTAGTGAAGCATTGACAAGACATGATAATCTAATTACATGAGACAGATGCACACATGATGGAATAGTTCCAGTCCTCTTCACACCACTGACAGGACATGCATATTACATGTTCCTGTGATGTGTTTCTTTTGCGCCGCCACATGCAGATTTTTTATGCCTTGGAAAAATGTGTTTTTGATTTCATTCCTGAAATTGGGATTGTGAAAGAGGAGTAGCTGTGTTCACCTAATAGTATGTTGAGTATGGGAAAATATAATAGTTTACAGTTTTATTCAGAAAATCAGCATTGCAGCATAATGGTATGTTTTCCTAAATTTGTGAAACAAATAAATCACACCAAGGAGTTTAATAGATAAAAATTGAAACAACAAGAAATACGTAGATTTCATACTACCAGTCTAGTCATCACATCAATTTGGTCTAGTTCACATTTGCTGATAATCATGGTTGTAATGGAAAGTCCCATGTCGCATACAGATAACATGCTCGCATGTCGGAGTCAGAACGTAATGTCAGTTTCAATCCATCAGTCATGTTATGTCCATTACTCCATGGACGCTGTTCATGAATACAGGTTTCTGTAATTTGATTGGTTTCATATTTTATCATAACATATTCATTAGATATCCATAATGTTACAGATTACATAAAATGTCAAGGTGTCTACTATAATTTGTGGTACATTAGAAGTTCATTTACCTTTCCATGGAAAGGTTAAAATCAAAAAGTTACAACACCCAATTGAAATAAGGCTTTCTCTTCCTGGCAAGAATTGCTAGATGAAAGTCAAACACTCTTGTGCCCACTGACATTAAAGGTATTGTACATACAGCAACCTCAACACTGCTATGATTATTATTATTGGAGAACGGGGTCTTTTACAGCCCTATAAAAAAACTGTAGGGCAGTACTGGGTTTAGTGTTACCATCTTGCATGCGTTGTGTGGCCAAAGGTCTAATGAAACAGATGAGCACAGTCCTATACACCATACAATGTGGGATGGACGTTAACTTAATAAAACATGTAGGTGTGCATATGATTTAGCTTGTTAGGAACACCATAAAGACGGATCTGTCAATACAGTTATGCATGCCTCAATGCATCTTCCATGTCCATTTATAAGTTCTTATTGCCAAGCAGAATGGAGTGATGCCGATGCTGTTATCACACCCAAAATGACGATTAGAGGAACAAATTGTCCCGGTGGGTTTGGGTGATGCCTGTGACGGATGGAGTTTTGAAAACTCCTGTCATGAGGAAATGATGAGCCTGATATGAAGAAATCCCACTTGGAGCATTTCTGAATTTCATCAATAATATTCACAGCAGGAGTGGAGATGGGGGAAAGATGAAAACATCACTAAATGGGGAAGATGGAGGAAAGTTTTTTATTGTGAATTTTAAAGGCGCATACATACTTTTGTTAAATCACAAAGAACAACATTTTTAATGTTACAGTGACATTTGCAGAGTAAAGAGACTCTTTTTACACAACCAACTCTTTTATTCAGCCAACATATCGGTGACCATCTAGTCACCTTCCTCAGGGCAATTCTGACTGGTTCTGCCTGAGATTCTTGCCCTGATGAGGAAGATGACAGATGGTCACTGAAATGTCAGCTGAATAAAAGACTTGGTTGTGTAAAAAGAGTTTCTTTACTCAGTGACTTACCAACCTGATGAAACTTCACAGCGCTGTTTGCATTTTACTAGCGTACTTGTGATTTACAACTCGTCCAGTATCTTTATGACTAAGATACTGATATGCGTTTCCCAAAGGCCAGAGAGGTGATAAGTATCCTCTCACTCCCAGGATACTTGTTGGCTGACGTTGCGGCGTGAAATCTCTATATACAATCTATATAGCCCTTAAGTCATGGAAGATATTGCATTCTTGTTGTGCTTATCTGTAATTATAAGATGTATTTGCTCAGGGATGAGCTTGGCCATGTGCTCACCTATGTGTACAAATGTATATAACATTATGTGGGGTGTTTTATCACTAATCTACTTTAGAATTAACTTTCTGCACTAATGGTGATGCAGTAAATTGTCTCAAGCTCTATTGACAGGTGGCTTTTATAGGGTAGCATAATGATTGATTGATCATTGCAATACCTATGTTAACACTTGAAGAACATTATAATGTATACCTTTTAATGCACTGCTGTAATTTTTTTGTTGCATATACAGTGTAACATTACAGTGTTGTAGACAAAATCCAGATTAATTTAAACTCAAGGTTTGCATTAGATTTTCAGAGTTTGAGGGAAACATTTAACAATTCACCTCCTACATCTTAGTATCCATATTTCTGTGAGTAGAATTTTCAGGTCACTATATAGAAGGGACAGAAAATTTTCCCATTCATCCACTTATCTGGGGAAACTCTAAGAGAATTGAAACAAGTCAATTTGCCAGTGGGGAATGGCATGCTCATTTGCATGTACGTACTGCACATGCATACTGATATTCTGGGGCCGTCCGTAACCTTCAGCTCCGATGAACAGCGAGATTTACATGTACCGCTTCTAAAAGCACTGCCATAGTTTAACCTGACCAGTTAGATGTGCAGTAAACCTGCCGTGCTTAATCTCAATTGTACAGGAGAACATCTGGCTTTAAGGGGCGCGTTACACGGATCCTGCCCCTTGTAAAACTGCTTAAGTGTGGCTGAAATACTGCACAGGTTATCGCATTAGCTCAGCCCCACCATTACGAGTGTAACACCTTTGTTGCCAGAGAGTCTAGGCAGGTGGGGCCGGCGCTTCAGCGTTAATCCTTCCCAACTTTGCTCGGCAATGACCTCGTTAATCATCGCTAGCGCCGGCTGCGTCCTTCGCCAAATGTTGCCCTCTTGAAGGACGTACAACTACAATCAGTTTGGGCAACGATTTTTTTTAATCACTAGGACCTTGAATGACCATGACTGTGAAGTTCCACCTTTAGTCATAATTTCATTGTCACATCGACAATTCTCTGTACTGTACACATCAGACACTTACATGTAAACTCTATCTTGTATTTATAGAATAGAGATCAATAAATTTTAATGGAAGCATCTAAATTGAGAGTACAAAGTACAGGTACAGCTGCAGGTAGGATAAAAAAAAAATTAATACCCACTGGCAAAATTAGACTATATAAAACACCACCAAGAACATCATCTGATTCACAGATTTGTGCTAGGATTCTCAGCTAGTCTGAGTGACAGATGAGATAGGATAATCCCTATAATCTTGCATCTGGAAGAGAAACTGACACTTTACAGGTATATTGTACTGATGTAGACTTATCTGGTACAGATACATGTACATGTGTTTATATCCACTAGACAGAGGTCATTGACCTCCATCCAGAGGATATATCTGCACCAGATAAGTCCAGACTCAAGGGGTTTAGACAGTCAGACACTGCTGTAAGCTTAGAGTAATCCCCACCCTCACCCGAATTGCATTAAATACATCAATAACGTACTAGGATATGATAGACTGTCACATTGAAATATAATCACGGTGAGGGAAGCAATGGTTGTGTTTACTAAAAGAAAATCTCACTATCCTTTGTTCTACATCCCAATATCCTATTAGAAGTTATTTCCAAAATTAATAAAAAGTTATCATCATTACATGATTGCAAATAAGAACTACAGGACTTGAGAGCAGTTCTATTTTTTAATGTTATTTTTGCTCCACTGATTTATTATTGCATTGCAATATTATTAAGTTAGTTCCAATAATTCAATAACCATTACATTAACACGACTACATGTAAACAAAATAATTTCATTTCTGCGTGGAAAAGATGATAGATATCGATGTTGCAGACTAAAAGCATTTATCTTCAATGCCAACACTATCTGCACAACAAAATGTCATACGCCCATCAAAGAACCAATTCTTCTAAAACAATAATCATTGATAATTATGATGATAATGAAATTACAACTGAAGATACTTAGTTCTTGACTGATGTAGTTGTAGAATTACTTATTTGTAGCACTCCATCTGATGTAGGGAGGAAAAATTCTGATATTTTCATACATCTGTTTGAATTCTACATTACAATGAGAAGTCTAAACTTAGTTAGGAAGCTACATTTAATAATCTTAGCACCAAAGAGATCTGTTAATAACATGAAAAGTACTTGAAAGAATTTCATAGTACTTCACGTTTCCATCCACATATTATGTAATGTTGTTCTCCAAAATGTTACATGATGGTTTATCTTCAAAACAAATTTTGAATCTTCCAAGTTCAAAAGTCAATTACATGTACAGTACCGTTCGCGTTATAGTTACCCTAACGGCCGTTACTAACGCGTTTTTTTTCCGTTACTTTTCCGTTACTTTTCCGTAAGTTTTCCGTAACTTTTGCGTAAGTTTTCCGTTACTTTTCCGTTACTTTTCCGTTAGACTTCTGCATTCATATGCAGGCCGCGGTAACATCACAGAATAATGGGAGGAGTACTAATTTACCTCATGCGGGGCGGGAAATTACCGATACACACCGCTGGAACAGCGGAAGGAACGTTGATCTAGCCTGCATTTTACTATATTGTAACGTTTAAAACGTTTTACGATCACCGGCGCAATTCAATTTGATAGACATTTTCTTTTGTCACTGTTGCCCAGGCAAGCGTTTCTATAGTTTGTCAACTTTGTTTTGCTGTTTTTCTCTGTTAACTTATTTTACCACCGAATAAGCAAACCTACAGTAGATGATCTGAAGTTATAAATGCCCCGGTCCGCCGTACATAATAGGCGGCGGGCGTGAGGTAACGTTAGGGATGTGCAAAAACATCGTGGAAAATTCCTATGACACTCGAAAAAAGGCAGCATATTTACACGTGCCCACCAACATTTTTATGGCTAATTATTGACCAGTTTTGGGGAGTTTTGTTATGTCCTTGGAGTTTTGTTTAGAGTGGGACAGAAAGCCGT